TCCGTGATTTAAATGCAGGATCCGAGGAGTCATATAGGCGGATATATCTCCAGTGAGCATGCTTGAGGTTTTCGCACACTTGGCTCAAGGTGACATTCCATTACTGAGTGCATCGCGCGCGCGCGCGCGCACGCACGCACGCACACACACACACACACACACACACACACACACACACACACACACACACCCTATATCCTATCAGCACGGCTCTTGTCGCAGAGCATAGCTTATACTACAACAAATATTAACTTGATCTGTTGATGATGGCTTTTTAAATAAACTCGTCTAGCTGCAGATCGCTGTCCTCTCTGTTAAATGTGAGCGCGTGCTGCAACGAAAAGTCGAGATGCGTTAGCAGGCCGGGCTTGTTGAGCATCCCAGACATGCTACTGTACATACAGACCAAAATAGGATTTGTTTACAACCTTGAAAGGACAGTCTTTGCTCAATTCAGTTTGCCTGACAACAGGTTGTTTGGGGATTAATGGCAGCGAGTTGCAATGCATTGATTCAAACCTCTACAGATTCAGTCATAAGGGAGTGAAAAATCAGCAGCCAGTAGCCTTGGACAATAATCATGCATGTGTTCCCATGGAGTCACAATGGTTACTCACTATAAAGTAGCCTAAGTTGTAGATGACAATGGGGACCCATACGGGCCCCTCATGACTTTCAACGTGCAACCAATGGCGGCCCCAGCTCTTACCTGAAATCGCTGTAAGGGTGGATAATCCAATTCCCAGCTGATTTTACCCTCTCCTGCTCTCTCTCCACTGCCTTTTGACTACCATACATGCGTAAGGAGAATTTGTTAACTCCAGGCTGCAGCATACTACTAAACTGCCGCTGCATGAAGCTGGCTTGGCTGCCCCGAGGTTCCGCATCCTCGGCGGGCACAATTGGCGGTCCATCCTCCGGCTTCTGGAAAGTGACAGAGTTCCTGGGCTGCTGGGTCTGAGTCTGGGTCGGGCCGTGCAGCGAGGACGAGGCTTTCCGGCTAGGTGCGTTGGAGAAGGACACCTTGGAGTCCTTTTTCTCGGGGACACCGCTGGACACGGGGGTAGTGCCGGGATTTGCGCTGTCTCCTCCGTGCCCCCCGCTCAGGGACCCGCCTGGTGTGATCGAGCCGTCCATGCTGGCGGTAGTCGAGTTACAGGCTCCTCGCTTGGCGCTGCCTCCGTCCTCGGCCCTCCCCGACCCTCCTGTCTGCTTCTCCTGCTTGGAGATGATTGAGCGCAGGCTCCCGGTACCCGAGTCCCTCCTGCATTCTCCGTTTTTGTTGCATTTCATGCTGGAAATTGGAGCGACGCTGTTGCAAACATCACCCGCTGTCGCGTTTAAAACCTCTGCCGCGACCGGTGATTCCGACGCCTCCGCCCCAGATGCTCTGCTGGTCTCGCCGCGCAGGGCAGCATCGCCCGGACAGGGTGTCTGGGTCTCGGCAGCTCTGGAGGCAGCAGTGGGCCGTGGGGCGGCAGGAGCGTCCTCTGTGTGCGTAAGGCAGGGCTCCTTGTTGGAGTTCCTCCTGGAAGCCGAGGACGCGGCTCCCCCTCCTGGCGTAAAGTTCTTCATCCTGATACTGCCTCTTCCTCCTCCTCCACCTCCGCCACTGCCGCTCCCCCCGGCTCGGCGCAACCGCGGATGCTGAAACTTAGACTCCTCTTCTCCGTCCTCCGTCTCGTCCATCACGACGTTGCTGGCTACACCGGGCTGCTTACCGCTCGGTGCGCCAGAAGAACCGGAGTCCAGACAATTGTGGCTGCTGCTGCTTCTTGTGCATTTGGACGCGGCAGACCTTGATGCACTGATGTGGCCGAATCCACTGCCGCCCACCGCCTTCTTTTTCATGGTGGCAGCAGACGCCGGTGACACCTCATTCCTGTCCATGACATTAAGCAGATCAAAATTTGCCTCCAATTATCTTTGGAGAAAACCAATCAGAGATAGAGGGGAGAGAAGAAGAAGAAGAAGCGAGAGGGAGAGAGAAAGGAGAGAGGGACAAAGGGAGGGGTGGACGTGACTTCTTTGCAAACTACTGCGTTTATACTTTCACTAGTCATCCTGTCAGAGACGCTCAAGCATCAAACTAATTAAGCCTCTTGACTGCGTCAAATGTCATTAAACCATTAGCTTATGCTGCTCCCAGTTCAGTTCAAGTACATTTCCAGCTGAGGCCTCTCAGTCATGACCTAAAGCGTGAATTGCCTCGTGTAACTCCTATCAAAAAAAATCATACGAAATTAAATACTACTTCACGTTGTCAAACACAGTATATAACCTAGCCTACTAACATCAAAAGTTTAATTACCACGTGTTAATGAAAACTCAAAATGATGTCATATGTTTTAGAAGGTGTTTTCAATGACAACCTTCCAGAATTGGTGTCACCCTTACTTGGTATTTAGCGCGCCCTAGTGGCCATGCAGAGGAAGCACAGAAGGTGTAAGACAAATGTTTGGTGATTCTGACACAACAGAAGCTTCTAACTTTGTCAAAGGCGCTTGGTCAGAAACAGGAACGGGTGTCCAGTCTAGGTCCATTTGTCTACCCAAAGGTGAATTTGTCCTCACATGTGCCCTCAAACATGATCCTTTGGGTGCTTGTATCTGGGTTCATGGCCCAAAGGGAACATACTGTACCTTGCACCTCTCATGGGGCACATTTTTGTACCAAAATCACCTTTTGATTTCTGTCCTCAAGTCTATTTTAGTTAGTGTAGAGGTGCAGGTACAGATATGGACTATGGACAGCCGCAGTTAGGAATTATGTGCATTGAAAGTGTTCTGTACAATCCAAGCAACAAGAATGTTACTGTTTTGCTACTGTGAACTCTTGGTCCTTAGTATCCAGTGAAGTATCCAGACTATACAAACACCAAAGAAGCACCAGAGGAGTATTGAATTAGCTGTCCATGTCCTCTTTCAACAAATGACAAACCAAAATGCTTTAACATCCAGAGGCACAGTCATTTCAGTCTTCCTCTGCATAATCTGTGCACCCACCATCTTTAACAAGCGTCAACAAGTACAGCAGAGGTGTTAATGTACTGCCAACACTGACAGAGAGATGCAGGTTCAGCATCACAGATGGGCTCTTTGCTGCTCTGGCTCAAACTGTATATGAGCATAAAAGCAGCTGGTTATACATTTCCATTCCATTAACATCTTTGTCGTAAGGAATTACACTACTGTATAAGATAGTCTGAATGCATGATTGTGTCTATGGCCAAAGTTACAGAGCTACAAAGCATCGTCCCTGCACAGTGAAGATATGGGCCATGATAATCGAGTGCTCCATCACTGGAGAAGAGATTAAGTAGCTAACCTATTTTCTTTGATCTAGTTTTGGTTGAGTCTAAATTTGGTCACATATGTAAAGGATAGTTTACATACATACACACAGGCCTACTTAGCAATGGCAATATGACTACATAGCTGGTGGTAATCAAATAATTCACACACCATCCCTGATACACACTAACTTCTCCTGAAAAACTTAATAAAAATTCAACTTCAATTTAGTTTCAAATCATCTTGCTGCAAATTTCTTACCTTTTGACATCAGTGCTGGGAAGTCATGAGAGTCATCTCTCTCTCTCCTCCCCTCCCTTCTTCTTTCTCTCTGACTTCCTCCCTCTGCTTCATTAGTCCAAACTACGCAGCCGCAGAAAGGTTCAGTTTAATATCCTGGTAAGGTAATGCAGCAGTGTGACAGTAACAAATAGTTTTCAACAAATGACAGAAACCAAAAAGACACAGTGATGCACGGAAATGGCAATGAAAATAAAATAAAAGCTAAAACAAGTACTGAACAAACACCAAACAAGTGGCAAGTGGTGGTGGTCTGAATGGCCCAGAAACATGTTACAGAAGAAACCACCTCGTAATATCCATCAATCACAATGAGGAGTGTTAACCTACATAGGAAAGATTAAGTGACAACCTTACGTCCTGAACCAGTAAAACAGCGAGTATACTAAGGAATCACACAATCTGTTTTACAAGTGAAGGTGGCATTTCTCCATCATAGCCTCTGTTTGCTCAAGGTCATGTAAGTCAACCTAAATGCTTCTTATTTGCAGTGGCTGGCGACACCACATCTATTTGCACTGGCAACCCCTATTCAACACCTTGGGAGTTTTCATGTTATTTTTGTCACTGTATCATACCACAAGAAATGTTAAGTGAATTTTCCTGGATCTGCCTCCTGACGTGTGCTTTTTTTTTTATTCATGGTCTAAGTTTTACCTCGATACTGACACTTGATACACATACAGACGAGTGTCTCCCATTAAAGGAGATGAATACTTTCGTAAAACAAGTAGTTTGTTTTTTCTATTTGTAATTAATTTAGATCGCTCCATAGACATGTTGTAAGTTTGAAATTAAAACAAACAAACAAAAGAAAACCTTAAATCTTCTGTTCGATTCAATGTTTATAAAACAATAAGACATGAATACTTCCTGTAGTTTTACAGGCATAAAGTCATTTGGGAACTAGCAGAGGTGCCACTGTGGCAAACAAGAGGCTGGGTTATGACAGGGCTACCATTCATTAAACTTTTTCAAATATCACAGGGTCAATTTTTCAAAAACCAAAATAATAAGGTTAACATGTAAATGATCAACTGACATTAAAGCAGTCAGCCTCAAAAGAGACAATCCTGATCAAGAAAAAATGCATTTCAAATGTACATGTCCGTTCTCCCTCCTTGGCAAGTCAATGGTAAAACTGTGGTTCGTCTCTTGATAAAAACAGTTGGGGTTTGATCAATAGCATTTTCTCATTATCAAGTGTGTAAAATTAAGCCATACCAGTAGGATAACATTTTTGTAACTGCACATTATCAGCAGAAACTTTAAAATTTGTTTGTTTTAGCACTTTATTGTGACTGTACGAAAAATCAGTAAATAAAATAATAAACACTTGTTTTGTGAAACACATTTGGCCAGAGGTAAGATGATCCCATGCCTTTTTTTTTTTTTTTTTTTTTTTTGTAACTCTTTTTTTCTTTTACATTGCCCAATTTGTGTCTTGGGCAAGGGTTCAATAAATAAGTATGTTTGTGAAATTTTTCACTTGAGGAATAAAAATGTGTCCACTGTTGAGCTGTGAGGATCTTTACCTTGTCAAGATACACTAAATACACTGGATCAAGCTCTAATAAAAACAAAAAGTCCTAAAAGACTTATCCAATGCAAAAAAAAAACAAAAAAAAAAAACATGTTTTTTTGTTCAGTAGTTTACCCAAATTCACATTCTCAACATCAGACAGAATTTTGTGCAAAATAAAGAAAACAAAAGGTGCAAATAAATAAAAACCAGATGCATACACTCAGTTTCCTTTCCACAAGGTTTTAGTTTGATCCATTAGCTGTACAGTGGCTGACAGTTCAAAATGAATTATCTATCTACACATCTATGGACTCTGCACCACCACAGGCAATGTTTTAAAAAAAAGAACATTTTTTCTTTTAAATATAAAATGTGTCCCAGCCTTGTGGCAAAGACATGTCTCCATCAAAAAGCAGTCCACTCTGGTTCAAACTCTGCCCCAGTTCTGGTCACAATCCCACTTGATTATTATTATTATTGTTATCATTATTCACAGACTCTCTGGATCCTCCTTAAACACTGCAAAGTCCCACCTCCTCAAACACTTGATAACAATAGCAGCAGGAGCTGGACCCAGCATCCATTCAGCACAGGGGGTGGGGGGATGGGAGTGGGGGTGGGTGACTAATAGTCTGCAACACATTCAGAGTTCACCTCGACTCATATCGTCCCCTAGAATTGAGATAGACAACTGTCCTGGTCTCAGCTGTAGAGAAGACTTGTTGGGTCTCAGCTGGGCGTGAGGTTTTCAGATGTGAGGTGGTGGTGACGGTGAAAATCTATGAGTTGCTGGCGGCATTCTCATTGCTAGGTGAGCTCGGGGAGGAAGAGGAGGAGGAGGAGGGAGAGAAGTTCATTCCTGATAACCCCGGTGGGTCTGTGGCTGTATTCTGTCCACTAAGACTCTTCCTGCACACAGGACACGTATCATGCTGTGGGAAAAAACAAGGATGAACAAGAGTCCTTAGGCTGTTCACCATCAATACATCAACACATTCAGATGACCATCTTATTCTGGACAATCAATGACATCCTACAAGTGAAGCACAGATGTTAGAGATGACCTGATCGTCCTTTTCTCTGCCCTCAATTTGAATCAGTCAATAGCAAGCGTGTTCCAATAAAGTCCCAAATTAATATTTTTATTTTCCAACATCATGAAACTGCACTGTGCACACCTTCTCCAGCAACTCCAAGTCAAATATGATTAATCAATCGACCCGAGTTCAGAAGGTGTAGTTAAGAATGGGGACGCCATCAAGATTGATGGAGCTATACAGGTTGTAAGTCGACAACATATTCATGTAAAAAAAGAGATAAGTTCTTCTAGAAACCAATACAACAGGTTTACATGTCACCTGTAAAATAAATAGGTGAGGCCGTTTTGTCACTCGTTACTTATTGGTTTGGGCAAAAACAAAATAAAACATCACAATGAGCGGCTGAATGAATAAAATAAAATAAAATAGGTAATACAGTCTAATTATCAGTGAACATCCTCCATCCAAGCATTTCCTTAGTAGTTTCCTAATGTTATTATAGTGCTTTTACAGTGTCATAGCATGAACAGTATCATTCTGGACAGCTTTTCTTCATTCCCAGTATTAAGAAAATACTGACTTTGATATGTAATTTGACAACTTATAGCAGCACTTAAGAAGAGCACCAGAGGAATGTCTTAAAAATCAAAGCAAAGTACCTTTTTTTTTTTTTTTTAACCCAAAGCAGCGCTGCTGATATACATACCTGTTCCAGCCATGGTACTATACAGTCATTGTGAAACAAGTGATTGCATGGCAGTTGTCTGACACTCTCCTCAACGCTGTAGTCTTCTTTGCACACAGGACACTCTAAACCAGCACCTGCACAAACAGAGAACGACAACACTGTCTGTGTGTGTGTGTGTGTGTGTGAGACCTTCAGTCACATGCATCAGCTGTATGGACAATTGTGAACACACTGATTCTGTTTGTTTGAGTTCAGGCAGTGTTATGCCGGGTACGTGCAAATTCAGGCACTTCACTACAAAATACTAAAACCATAAAAGTTAAAATAGATGTACAGTATATAGATATATATATATATCTATATATATACACACAGACACACACACACATTGTGTGTGTGTGTATATATACATATATACATACACACAAAACGCATATATACAAACTGTATATATACATATACCTTTGTGCACTTGACAATGATGATATAAAACTAAAAACCAAAAACAAAATGTAAGACATATTTTCACTTTGTGTTTGTTGTCAGCTGTCTTCTCGTTATAGAGAAAATACTGTTATTGAATTGGCTTAAAGGCCTGGGAAATGGCGTTGTTTTATATTTGGTGTGCTTAGATGACTTGGTTGTAGTGACATGAAGTGGATGCATGGAGCCAGTACAAAGGACAATGCTGATCAAAAAAGATGTTTTCTGTTCTGATAGATCACTCAGAAAGGAAGCAAAGACGCTTCTGGTGCAGACTGGATAAGATACAATGAGTGTGTAACTGTAAGTGAGAGCTAGGTACATATGGGGACTTACCCACATGTTCCTCTGTAATAGAGATGGTGGGTAAACTCTTTATCCTTTCTCTGTCTGCAGGTGGAGGACCAGTGTTTTCAAACTGGTTCAATAACTACAAGTGAAAAAAAGGCAGAAGTGCATTAAATGGCATACATCATTGTTCTATGAGAACAAAGTTTTTCTATAAAACGCCCTCCTCTTCCAGTATGATGCTACACTACATGTCTGATAGATGTCTGATTTAAAGGAAGACTTCTTTACAAAGTTTACGGCTGTGCAGCCTGGTATCATTTCATTGCTATAAAATTAATTTAAATATCATTATTGTGAATTACTAATTATGATACTACTGTATAAATGCAACTATTCCCGGGGCCCCAATGAAAAGGCTCTCAGGAGGGGCGTTGCGTAGCGCAGTGGGTTACGCAGGCGCCCCATATATAGAGGCTTCGGACGGCCCTTTCCTGCATGTCATTCCCCCTCTCTCTGCCTCCCCATTTCCTGTCTCTCTACTGTCCTGTCCATTAAAGGCACAAAAAGCCCCAAAAAAAAAAAAAAAGAAAGAAGAAAAGGCTCTCGGGACACTGAAGCTGACTAATTGATAAGTAGATTTATTTCCAGTGTAATGTAAAGAAAGCACATTTTGTACCTGTGTAATGATAGCATCAAGTCCATTGGCGCCCCAGGCGTAGTCCATTGGATTCGAATGTAACATGCCCCTGCCAAACAAGAAAAACAACAAGTTAGAAAAATTTTTTTCAGTATTTTTCAGCTCAGTGACATATAACAACAAAACAAACATGCATCTGTTTCTTTTGCTTACCATGGTCCCATTCCAATGTTTGGCATGGCTGTAGGTGCTATGATTCCATTTACTAGCTGCTGGATAATTCTGGAAATCAGGAAAAAAAAACAGCACAAAAAACAACAATATTTTCAGTGAGCATTTGCTGAATCAAACTGAGAAATTCAACTTGCTTTCTCACCTATACTGGACAAATGGAAAATGGCTGTGCGTATTTATAATCACAGAAATATATCTCAACTTAATGCAGATGGTAACAAATATTTATAGTTAAGTAATTATAGGAATAGCAAGTCTTTGCTATTAAAATGGTGATAATGGATACTGTATGTGTTATATTTTTTGAATGAATGCATCACAGATCACTTCATGGTATCTTTATTGGGTTTGTTAGTTAAGCAAGGTTCTACATTATGTTTAGCTGTATCTTAACACATCATGTCACTATATTCTAGAACTGTAAATAATATTGTTAAATATCGTCTACCATTACATGAGAAGCACATATTACTCACACAAGAGAAGCAGACTTTTTACCTGTAATCTCTTGTATCCCACACCAACCTCTCTCTCACACACACACACACACACACACACACACACACAGAAAATGTCTCACCCCTCTAATGTGGGCACTCCTTCATGGCGCGTACCCTGTCTTCGAGGAACATGCCGACCCCGTGGTTGCCGCGCACTGTATCGTTGCCGTGATGCCATTTCCCGTTCTCTCCTGTTTTCTGTCTCTCGGTTGTCCTCTGTGGGTAGCCGTGTTCGCAGGTCAAAGTTTTCATCAAAAATCCCAAGTGCAAATGGACCATACCCAGAGGGAAATGTGAATAAGTGTTGGTGATCCATATTCTAGAAGAAAAATACAGAGGCAATGTCAAATCATGGTGCAATGTGCAAAATGTCCTAGATGAGCCGATTCTGCAAATTCCACTGACCTCAAAGGCTGAGCGGTTCTGATCACTGGAGGAGGATGTGGATGCGGACCCATTTTCAGTACTGCAGGAACAGAGGTGGAGGAAGCGAAAAAGGTGAGACTCACAAATTCACTTAAATATCAAATTAATAACATTCATGAGACACAATAATCCTCCATACCTTCTTTCCTCAGGCAATTCCTCAATGAAACCAGATTCACAGCGTGGACAGGTGTAGTCCTACAGTGAAAATAGAATTATATTATATTATACTATACAGTTTAGTTTAGTGTGTTAGACAGGTGTTGATTCAACTTTATGGTTATTTTGAAGGCTGTGAGGTGCTGTTTAATTGTATAATGTTATACTGAGTTGTGTTACTTATATTTATCCTACCCTGACTCATATAAACTGGGTGAATAGAATAGTACAAGCACCTCTCAGTGTATCACAATACACTGACGGCACCAAAAACTACAGCCTTAAAAAATGACTGAAAACACTTCAAACTGCCAACTAAGGCTGATAATTATAACCTTGTCAACAAATAGGCTCTGTTGTATCAGAACACATTAGTTTTTGATAATTTAACATGTGTCTAGTAAACTGGCAACTGGGTATTTGATGTCTAATAATAAAAAAATACATAACTTCCTATTTTGTCTCTATGAAGTGCAGACTACGCTAGTGTTGATGTAGAGCATAAGGGCAATCAGTAACATCCATCACAGATGTCTTATTTCCAGTACATTCAGCCAGCTTGTGATTTCACAAAATGTGATCTCCTGAGAATACTCCGTCACACAGACAGGTAAGCACCCTGCTTACTGTCTGTAAAGTAACTGTTACTGTAACGTTCAAGAAGCTTCCCATGAATAGCTTGACAACAGACTGTGGTGGCAGGCAGGCTGATGTCACAACACTTCTCTTTGCGCTATAATCACAATCAGCTAAGAAGCAATCCTTGTGGAAAAGAACTGTCACTGGAATTTTTATATCAGCTGACTGAAACATTAATAAAAACCAAAACCCGCTAACTGGACGCTTTCTTCTGTTAGCTAGCTCGCGGATGTTAAACGCCACTACTAGAGACCTGTCAAGCTGTTAAGCTGAACTCAATCGGGCTGCTATTCAGCATACTGCGATATACCTGATGTTATCCCTATAAATCACAAAATCACAACGTGAGCGTCCCCACCAACTTAATTACTACTACTTGACTGTCACTCTAGACCGTTGGTGCTAATTAGCGTAGCTGAACAGCAGCAGTCAGTCGACATGACTCGTTGAGCGACACAAACACACACACACACGTACACAAGTAAGTCCATGACAAAACAAATATAATTTCTCGTTTTTCAAGTCTCTTTGAACCTTACCGGTAAACGTGGGCTAATCTCTGCTGAACACCGGTGACAAAAAAACCGGCAGGGCCGTGGGGGAGCTTCAGCCATTTCTGAGCAGGAGACCAATTCGTAAGTACGGACGGGCAGCAACGAGGGACAAGAAGACCGGCCTTGCAACGGGAAAGACGCGATGAAAACGGAAACGTGTTTACATACGTAACATCACCATGGCAGCTACACAAAATTACTAAGAAGAGGAGTTCCGGTTGAACATTTCCTTCAAAATAAAAACGTCGCATATAAAAAAAAAAAAAATCAACATCCATTATGAGACCTTGAAATGATTCACAATTTACATTTTTTCGTTTTGTTTTATTATATTCTATTTGCCATTTTCATGCTACATATACTATGTTTAACAGAGGTAATATATAATACAATATAACCTGTCATTGTTCTTTCACATGATGTTAGTGCTTTCCACAAGACATGTTCCTATAACACACTTAAATCTAGACCCCAGTCTGTAGAAGAATCATGATAGTCCCTTATTTTTAACCACAAGACATTCAGGCTAAGATTTTGAGAATGCAATGCACACAATAGAGTTTCTACAAAGACTGTGTTCCAAATATTAGTGTGATGTGAAAGTACAGTTCTCAGGTATATTATGTACATTATGCCAGCTGAAACTGATTAAGTATTTAAGGAGCTTTATATCAACCCAACATCACTGAAGGTAGGTGATCTCACAGAACACAGTATCGTTTCTGATATGATTATTTATTGAATTCATCATCAGACCAGTCAAACAAAGGGAGTGTGGGTAAAAAAAAAGGTGCATAAAATAGCGCCTATTAAAAACTTAACAATATGTGTGGGTGATATGGACAAGAGCCTAATTTTTACAGCACATTTTCAGATCATCATGTATGTATTATGTGCATTATGTATATTTGTTGTATATTTACCAAAGTATCCAAAATCAAACAGTGCAAATAAGAAGACTGTCTTATATATATCACTTAAGAATTTTGAAACAAGGATTGAAACACTATTTAGTTTTAGGATTTTCTCCTGACTCAGCCTGTTAGGAGTTACTATTAGTCTTAGGATACATACTGATGGGATATTGGAAACGTCTATCTGTATAATATAATTCAACTGATTGAGTGGGTCACATTATTCATTTTACCAGAATTAATAATACCTGGTACAAGCTGAATATTATTTGACTTTGTATTGCAAGAAAAGTCTAGTTTCAGTCATAGTCTGGGGGTCATGTTGACTAGTAGAATAATGCTTTTATTCTAGACAACTATGACCGGAAGTCATAGTTAGGCATTTTCTATCGAAGTCAGCCTCTAAATCAGCTACACTGTAACGGCGAGAGGCTTATTGTAGTCCGTGAGCGTTGTTTTCGAAATATATTCCTACTCCTGCTACGGCCATGGAGTCTAGCGATGCAGGTAAATCTTCACTGAGAAATTGAGTGAGATGCCAACGCTAAATATGCCCATAGTGAAGTTAGCCAGGATAGCCGTAAACGTTAACTAGCTTATGTAGCCGCTTGTTGGCGTAACCAGTGAACAGCGTTAGCTAGCTTTAGCTGTCGGGTTAGCTGAAATAGATAATCATAAAACGAGACAATCGGAATTATATTTACTTAACTCAATGAATATCCGTCTTTTCTAAGATCTACAACCTGTAATATCCACATGTAAACACACGACAGTCAATTTTAACCGCTGTTTGAAGTTGTTTCTTTTGTTGAATGATTTAGATAAGCTTTCTTGTTCGCCAGTCTGTAATGGCTAACTACATGGCAAAGTTATTATATTACATATTATAGTGCCGTATTGATCTGCTTTCAGGTATTTATAACCTATGAATATCAATTTGATACAAATGTCACTGCAACATTTTAGATCAGAAAATATCTCAACTCCCAACTAAATGTTATCATTTTACTGCATTTTCCCTTTTATGTTTGTTCAGGGCGAGGGGGATGGAAGTCCAAGCCTGCCCAGCCACAGAAAAACAAGATGAACATGAATATTCTCCGTCAAGAGAAGCTCATAGCTCAGAAGAAGAAAGAGATTGAGGCCAGAATGGCAGAACAAGCAAAAGTTAATGTGCAAACCACTAGCAAGCCCTTGCCCCCAAGGTCAGGATACACTCATACAGGATACACAAACCCACAAGTTGTCACAGACATGTAAATATTAAATGAATGCTATATGCTTATGTATATTGTTATATTACAGTTTTTCAAGTACTGCCAGCTAGTATTGTGATGCATGATGGTTTTGCACTGTTTTATACTAACATTGACTTAATGCTTTTTTTCCATTTTGATCCCAGTAGTTCTCCCAGTCTACAAGGAGCCTCTTCTAACAAGTTTGCAAATGATGGAAGTTTCTTACAACAGTTCATGAAGATGCAGAAGGAGAAATCCACCAATGTGCCAGGTTAGTTCTGTTATCTACACAGTTTCAACCAAAAGATCGCTGTCATGTTTTTGTCATATCTTTATCATAAGTAACATATTATTATCATGTGGTGTAGTGAAATTTAGCACAACAACAGGGACTCTGTGGAACATGGAATAGCTGTGACCCTGTGGTTTTGGCTCTTGTAAAAGACAAATGAAGGGGTCCTTGACAGCTGTACAGTGTATGGGAGGTAGAGGCTCTTTAAGAGGGCATCCTCACCCAAATACCATGGCAGGACCATGAACATTACCTTACCTTACTTGTGTTGATTACCTGCCAAATGTTCTGGTTGAGGAAGAGTTCTTACCAACAGTAACAGAAATAATAGTAGCATTTAGCCCAGTAGGTTAAGACTAGTACTAGATTTTTGTAATGTGTGCCCTTTTACTATTTCTAGGTTCCACCAGTGATACCAAAACTCCTTCAACCTTAAATTCATTGCCAGGAGGAAACACACTTCACAAGAAGAGCATTCTTGTTGGAAAGCGGCCTGGCCTTGGAGTCAGTAGCATGCTTAGTCAGTTCAAGAGCTACTCACAGTCCAAGAAGAATCCCGTTCTCAGCCAGAGGCCGAGTGTGTTTTGTTCTCCAGATGGTGAAGATGAGGAAGAAGATGCTGATTACTCCAGATTCTTAGAGATGAAAGGTAATTCAAAAGCCTGTGTTTTTCAGTGTTTCCCTGGACAACTCCATGGCTTGGGACATTTCAGTACATCTGCGTACTCAAGTGGTACAGTTGCCTTGTGATTGGCATGTTGTCATAGGTGCCCTTACAGTAAATATACTCATAGCCTGCTTAAAGTCTCTCCCCCAGAGGATTCAGACACCAGACTCATTATCGACAAGATGGCCTCTTTTGTGGCAGAGGGGGGACCTGAACTGGAGAGAAAGGCCAGGGAAGACTACAAGGACAATCCTGTTTTCTTGTAAGTCTGAAGGACATTTTAGCTTGTCTAGATGTATTTTATCCATACAGTGTTTTCAAACGTATTTGTTTTCAACTGTTATCATTTTCTTTCAGATTTTTATATGATAAGAGCAGTATGGATTATCTCTACTACAAAAAAAGAGTTGCAGAAATGAGAAAGGATTTTCTAAGACCTGAGAATACATCAGATATTGGTAAGATTATTTCTTCTCACCCTCTGTCTCTGTTTTCTCTCTCACACCTTTCCAATTACAAAAATTCAATTGCATTGGGGTGTACAGTATATTGTTAGTATAGTTTCTAGTTATCACAATATGACCTCATTTGCACATCCATAGATATTAGGATGATTATTATTTAAATGATAATTTTAAGAACCTTCAATTCATGTGTATGTGTTTATTTTCAAGTCAGTGTACTTCCTTTATAGACACATATAGATACATACAGTTCTTTACTGCCCAGTAAAAGTGAACTGGACAGGAGCAACCTGACATTTCCCAATTCTCAATAACAGAGTATATGTTTATACAGTATAAGTATTGAAATGTAATGATATGCACATGTGACTCTTCTTTGAGGTCTCTACCTTGAGTAAAACTGTTATTCATAGAAGTATTAAGTTACATTTTAAAAAGGGATGAAAAAACATCTGCATACTGGCTTTCAAGGCCACACCATCATACAAAAATAATTTCTAGTTAAGGTACTAGTCTGGTTCATTATCAAACTGCTTCTTATTTAAGACTGTGCTCATACAGGTCATGGCTTTTTCAGTTTTTCTCTTATTGTCTTATGTTTTAATAAACCATATTTATTTGTTTGAAATCTGCAAACAGCGTACTAACTGTTTGCCAGTAAATGGTGAAATATACTATTTTGTCCATATCACTCACCCCAGAGTTATGCCTAATTGGATCAAAATTTAAAGATGAAGTAAAGATTCTAGTCTTTAATTGTGCACAACATTAGACATGCAGATACAAGTTGTAAAGTGTAGCCATATTGTATGTGGTGGAGCCACTCACTCTAGGCTTTATTTGTTCTTCATTTGCTACAATAAAAGCCTCACATCCATACAGTTCCCCATTCACCACCCCTGTCCCCCTTGCTCCTCCTTCCTCTTCTTATCCCCTATTGGCTCTAGACTGGTGGTGTGTGAGGGCCAGTTGAGTACGGTACAGTAGTAGAGTGTGAATTGAGTCCCAGTACTGATAGGCTGCTTAAAGTCTCCCCCCCAGTGGACGCGGAAACCCAGCAGGTGGCTGAGAAGCTGGCCAGGTTTGTGGCGGAGGGTGGCCCTGAGGTGGAAGCCATCGCTGCTGAACGCAACAGAGACAACCCTGCCTTCAGGTCAGTCACTATTATCTGACTTTTTTCCTAATTATGACATATTGTGTTTTTTTCTTTTTTAATTAAAGCCTGGTTGTATTTTGATAGCTTTTCACCTAACACAAAATGTCTACTGTCCTTCCTACAGTTTCTTGTATGATCACCAAAGTCCAGCCCATCGCTTCTACAAAGAGAAAGTACAGGAGTATCGTGCTGCAGCCTCCCAGAGCTCTTCACCTCCTGCAGAAGAGTCGAGGGCAGATGTTCAGCGACCAAATGCTCTGCCATTACCAAGAATCCCCCTACCTCTGAACCCAGCATCTCTACCACCAGTTCAGGAGTCAGACACTCCGCCCGTCAAACGGAAGAGGAAGAGCAGATGGGGTTCTGAAGAAGACAAAGTCGAGTTGCCCATTCCTCCAGTCATTGTTCCTCAGGAGATTAATGTTCCAGACCCTAACACACCTTCTCTCTCTGGTACATGAACTTGTATTATACATATTGCACAAATGTGCACATACTAGTATTTTTGAACTCCACTGTATATACTGTATATATATTGATTTGCTATTTTTGCCACACTATCAGCTGATCCAGTAGATAATTTGTTAATAAATGAATATAAACATTTTTGGTTTTAAAGCCCAGGAGCTGAGAGGTCTTGGTTATAAGAAGGGGAAGCCTCTTGGTCTGGTTGGAGTGACAGAACTATCTGAGGACCAGAAGAGACAAATCAAAGAACAACAAGAGGTAGGAAAATGCCAACTGAATGTGCATTTTTAACTATACCTGAATTCCACTCACAGTCAAAGATTAGTGAGAGCAGTCAAAAAGCACTGTGATGACTGGTCAATCACGCCTTAAAGTCAGGATTATTAGTCCCTGTAATCTACTGTCTGTATATATGTTGCTGACTGTGCGTGTGTGATGTTTTCTCACACACTCTGTAGATGCAAGAGATGTATGACATGATCATGAAGCACAAGCGTGCAATGGCAGAGATGCAGGTAATGTGGGAAAAGGCCATGAGAGATCATCAACATGAATATGACAGTGATGAAGAAGTGGACCAGCAGGCAGGCACCTGGGAGCATCGTCTCCGAAAGATGGAAATGGAGAAGACACGTGGTAAGGCTGACCATCAGCATGGAGAATTATTAAACTGTAACACTAGCAGAGGTTGATGATTGATCAGTTTTTTATTAAGGTGATGAGATAGATCCTTGCTGTAAAAAAATAAATGTCTATTTTTCCAGAGTGGGCAGAATCTTTGACAGAAATGGGTAAAGGGAAACACTTTATTGGAGATTTCCTGCCTCCTGAGGAGCTGGAGAAGTTCATGGAGACCTTCAAGGCGCTCAAGGTCCGTTTTACTCTGAATTCATTTGTTCTTCAACCTAACAATGAATAATTCTACTGTTTTTCAACTACAATGGTCGCCTCTGTCAATTAAACTGTAAAACCTTCATACATTTTTTGTATAATTTGTGCTAGCAATTAGTCATTAAGTGTCGCCCATGCAGAGCTTGGAAGGACTGGGTTCAGTTTTAAATGTGTAAACATGATTGTTATCATCCACCCATACCTCTATTTTCAAGCTGCTTGTCCAGGTCAGGGGCACTGTAGCAACAGCCATCGGAGCAACACAGACGTCTCTTTTCCCAGCAAATTCCTCTAGCTCTGCCTCAGGGACCCCCAGGAGGAGATTATAATTGCCACTTGTTTAATTGAAACTCAGTTTAACTCGATTTGGCAATGTTGTATAAACCACACTTATTTTATCCCTTGAAGAGTTTCAAAGTTGAAAACAGCACAGCATGCAAACAATTTTTTTTTAGGTGAGTGTGGTGCCAGTGTCATTGGAAGTTATTGAAAAGTCAGTGGTCACATAAGACCCAGGATGTAATTGTTAAACGCCACACAGCAAACTAGTTGAGCGTAAGTAAGTATAAACAAAGAACAAAGTCGTTCTCAGAAAAATAAAATTTCTTGGGTTATGGTAGCACTACTCAGGTTTCTGCAGGTTGTATTTTGTGAAGACACATCATCCCTGCTGTACTAAACAGACTTTGATGACAAGCAGAGTTCATTCTTTCCCTGTTAAATCAACTGAATAATAAAATACATTTCGCTCACCTATGCTAAATTACTTAATTACTGAATTAAAAATAACATTTTTTTACTCAAACTTGGATTCTGAATGACCCCTATTAGACACTAAGAAAAGCTAAAGTTGTATTGAAACAGATTTTAGAAAGATTAAAAATGATATTGACGATAAGACAGTGAAATGGTGCAACTCCAATGTGTATGGCATGAATGCAACTTAAGTCTTCTTGACTTGCAGGAGGGCCGGGACCCAGACTACTCAGAATACAAAGAATTTAAGTTGACGGTGGAGAACCTTGGCTTCCGAATGCTCATGAAGATGGGCTGGAAGGAAGGTGAAGGCCTTGGCAGTGAAGGACAGGGAATCAAGGCTCCCGTCAACAAGTGAGCATCCATCCTTATTCTGTTTACCATACATTGAAATCACTGTAGTAATAACATCACCTTCACCATGTTGGATTGTTTTCAATGTCCATATATACACATGTTTCCCTCAGTTTAGTTTAAGAGGTTATCTCACTGACACTCTCTCACGAACACAATCAAATAACACATAATTATGCCTCAGGCCCTGGCTGTTGCTGGCGCGTGGGCATCATGTTTTCTGTTTGTCCATCCTATTCTCGTGAATGTGATTTCTCAGTAACGCTGTGAGGGAATTTCTTGGCACAAACATTCACTTGGACTCAAGGATGAACTGATTATATTTTGGTGGTCAATGTCACAGTGACCTCACACAGTTTTGGCCTTGTGAACATGATAGCTGCGTAAATAAAAGTAAGTAAAAGTAACAGTAAATCAACCAATCAGAACATGGCTACAAACTGGCAGGGAAATCCATTAAGACAGAAAATACATCAAATACAGGCAGAAAGTATCTTTCATAAAGGTACTCTGCATATATTTGTAAATGACTAGCTCCTGAAAATAATGACCAAGTCAACAAAACAAAGAGCACACTAGACAACACAACAGAAACAGTTTATGGGTCTTTATTTCCACCAACAGTTGTTTATTTGTGGACTGTGAAATCATTTTTATTTGCACAAAGTGAACAATACACTCTGGACTATCTCACAAGTCTACCTCTGCATCTAGATCACTGCGTGCCATTGTGCATCTTTACACCTAAATGGGCTTTTTTCACAGCAGACTTGTCATAGACAGAAAATCACAGGTGTTACTAATAACATTAGTGGTGGCTCTGTTCTATTTATGTGTCCCAGTAAGGCGTGACAGTGAGTCAGCATGAACATTACCAGGACCCTGAAACTGAAGCAGCTATATGGAAATCAACCATTATTGAATTTATTAATTACACCTATGCTTTTCTTACTGTGACATGTCAAGGTGTCTTCTGTGAAAAAGACCTATGCTTAAGTATACTTAAGTTTGCGTATCCAGATAGACAACAACAGTAATGTTTTGATAGCTATCAAATTACTGCACAGACATGAAAGTAGGAACTAAGTTTGGGTGTCTCTCTGTCCCACTCCAGGGGAACTACAGCTATGAATGGAGCAGGTTTAGGAGTGGACCGTCCAGCTGAACTCATAAAAAGTGATGATGAATACGATGCTTTTAGAAAGAGGATGATGCTTGCTTACCGCTTCAGGCCCAACCCTCTGGTAACATCACGTTGTTTTCTGTTTGTTGTATGCTGTGAATTTGTGAATCTGTGAATTTATTGTACCATTGAAGATTATGTTACCTAATGTGTAATAGTATGCAGAAATCCATACTTGTTTAGTATTATAATTAACTGTAGAAAATTGACACTTCCATTTCCTGTGCTGCCGATCAAGTCAACGTTGTGTCCTTTGCAATAATATTTGAATTTAATTTGTGTTTTTTTTTCTTTCTGCAGAATAATCCACGGAGACCATATTACTGATGTAGAGGACTGAACACTTGGTCTTGTTTACCATAACTTAAAAGCTGGTCTCTCCAGTTGCCACAGCTCTGCTTAGTTGTGAAATGGACACCATTGCACAGTAGAATTTTTGAAATTTGAAATGTGTGTGTGCGGGAGGGTAATGAAGTTTGAGAAACATTGGTAAATCCATTACATTTGACTGTTTTCTTTAAATATCTGATCACCTGTTTTGTTACAACTTCAATTTAATACTGTAACAACTTTAAATATGTAAAGACTTGCATCACCTGACTTCCATGGTAATATCATTTTTGTATAAGCATTTTGTTCCCTTTCATTGCTTGACTTGATTTTGCATTCCAACTAAATAACACAGTTCTGTATTAGTACATGACCTTATGTATTACTGCATTCAGTATTTTTCCTCACTATGCTCTAACGTAACTTTTGCTTCCTTTCAATTTATGCTTCAGTGTTCACAATTAAAAATGGCCAGTTACTGAAATGTGTGGTCACAGATATGTTTTAAAAAATGTGGCAAACTATAACTACTGTACTTATCTCTTCATTAGGAAATAAGCTAATAAAATAAGCTAAGATAAACTCTTTCAGTTTATGGCATACCTGTGTGCCAAGTGCAGGTAATTACCCAAACATTTTGATTATTGCCATCAGTATTCATCTCTGTGTGGCTCTGGACAGAAGTGAGTCAATGAGAAGAGTTGACCAGGCTCAAGCAGCCAGAGGTGAGCAGGGTGACAGATCAGTGAAATCAGACCTTCAGTTTGCCATTCCCCAGGGTGGTTTACGTGGGATAAATATAACTCCAAAATCCCAGCTAAGCAAGAGCCACTCTGGTGTTGGCCACAGCATCAGTCAGAGGCAACTTAAGCCATAGTACAAGGTAAACCAAGGCATTGGTTAGTTAGTGGTATAGTGAGGTTTTTAGTTGGATGTAGGGGTGCAACTAATTATTATCATAGTCTTTAATTGTTTGGTCTATAAATTCCTTGAGCCCAAGGTGATGTTATGGCTTGTTTTGTCTGGAACTCAAGCCAAAAAAAATAAAAAAATCAGTTAACTATCTCAAGACAAGGAAAATCCTCACATTTAGGAAGCCGGAGGAAAGGAATAATCGAGTGATTGATCGATTTTCAGAATAATTGCCTTTTATTTATCAATTAATTGTATGAGCTCCAATTGGGTGCAGTTGGGAGTTTGGAGGAGGGGGGGGGGGGTCAGGGGGGTCATAAAGGACAGCATGTGAACAGCTTAAATAAATGTATTTTGTCTCTGTTTATGAACAGTATTCATACTTTTTCTTTTACTGAAACATCCTGTGTAAGAACTGGTGTGCCTACCCCTGGGAATATCCATTGTAAATGAAGGATATCAATGGTATTAGATTACTTGATGAAATTGAGAAGACTGAATAATAAAACCTAAAAACTCATTGTTGTCAGTGCTGGTTGACAGTCTTCTCGTCCCTTCACTGTGTGGAGAAAAAAAAAAAACTTTGATTTGACGCAGTAACGTATGGGCTGTCAGTGCTAGTTGGGGGGGAGGTAAACAAGATGGCGACAACCTGAGTGGCAAGAGTAACACGAAGAGTCAGAAAATTTAGCTGATATCTTACCAGACATAACTGAAATATTGACTTCATCACGGACCGCGACACAAAGGGGAAATAAAAACCTGCAACGGAAACGGGGTTCATGTGGATCTAGGTGAGACTCGGTAGCAGGAGTTAGGTTGACGAGCTAGCTAGCAATTTACATTGGAATCCGAGCGGCTTGCTAGCCAACGCAACTCCGGTTAGCTTGCGTTAGCAGGATGGATTTATCTGCCGGTCTTAGGGGCTAGTTTGGATGTTAAAGCTAAAAGTGGTTTTGCTGCTGGGTGAGCCTGATGCAGTACAGTCACGGACTAATGTTAGTCACTGAGATTTCCTTTGCTACACCGGTAAATGGGGTAAAGTTGGCTAACGCTAATCTTAACGCCAGCAAAGTTGGCTAGCTAGCGCTGCATATCTACTGTTAGCTACAGTTGTGTGACGACGTTTGGGTTATCATCAGTCGTTCACTGTCGGTCATCATCTACATTAAATTAGTTAACGCTGATTAAAAGAAGACTTCCAAGCTAAAACCTGCAATGCACGCGGAGGGTGTTTATATCGAGGAGCCACAAAGTGAGAGTTTATGTTTGCGAGCTAGTTCATTCAAGCAGACGCGCTATGTTAGCTTACTAGCTAGCTAACAACTAACACTTGAAAATGTTTATTTCAACTGAACAATTCATTTGTCAATCGTAACTCACATGCAAAATATGTATCTAAAATACGTATCTAAATAAATTATGATATATCGATGTCTCATGTGAACCTCACAGCAGAAAGGAAACCCAGTAAGGTTAACCGGTTAATGTTGATGTCTGGATAAATTGTTTACCAAAGAGGGCTAACTTAGTTCATAAGCGAACGAAGGCCATGTGTGTATTTTCATCAATGTTTAAATGACTCTTGTTTTCAGCCACCAGGCACTAGGAACCGTAGTGGCATGGAGGACACCTGAGGACGGTTGGACACATTGGATGGCTCAGTCGACCTCCAGGAGCCGGGCTGATACTAGAGATTGACTGATCCTGCTGCATTCGTTTGGCTGTAGATCTTTGCTTGGATCTAGTCCAGCTGTGCACACTTATGTGTCCCGAGAAAAACAATGCTATGCAGCATGGAGCTTCGACAGAACTTCTGTGTTGCATGGCCTTGAAGCAGGACTGGTTGTCTCTGCCTACAGGTGTATGGTATTAAATTTATATAAAGGTGATCTAAAGTTAAGTGGAGAAGACTAACATTTTAGAACCACATTTTTTCTCATATCTGTTCAACTGCACTTGTCACTCACGTAGTACATAATGCACAGTATAAAGCACTAGCTCAGCACGGGACCCAACAGGTTCTTCACATCTGTCTGCACCTCTGAGTAACAAGAGCCCTAATGTTTACAAATTGGGATTGATCCCCCACCTCCTCCCTCAACTCTCAGGCGTGATTACTCTCTCTCCCATGTTCAGTGTTTTTGTAATTTGTCTGTATTCCATCGTGTGGAATTAAAATACTCGGCTCAGAACTGAAAGGTTACACCAGTGGATTACGCTCCAGCAGCAATCATAGCTATTTGCAAAAAAAATTTGCACAGGAGATTTAAGCTGTGGCCACTGAACTGTCAGTCATGAGTACCGGGGAGCTGCATCATCTTGACTATCTAAATGAAAATGAACTGATGGAGATGGATACTTTCATTCACCGCATTGACTCTACAGAGGTGATCTACCAGCCACGGAGGAAGAGGGCAAAGCTGATAGGAAAGTACTTGATGGGGGATCTGCTGGGGGAGGGATCTTATGGCAAGGTGAAAGAGATGCTGGACTCAGAGACACTTTGTCGCAGGGCTGTCAAGATACTGAAGAAGAAGAAGCTGAGGAGGATCCCTAATGGAGAAGCCAATGTGAAAAAGTGAGTTATTTCTCTTTTTGGGGGAGATGGGGTTGTCAACCTGCTTTGTTTGGCACCATATCTCCCTCTTTTCTCTGCACCTGATAGTTAAAATCATAACACCAGTGTCACTGGTGACTCTGCATGCCAAGATGCTGGGTCTTCTCACTGTAATGCTTGATCTTAATATGAGTAATTCATTTGAATCGCCCCGCTGAAAATTTAATGAATCTTACACCAGTCAACATGGTTTCTTAAGACTGACACAGTGAGAATGGCCCTTCATTTCTGTCCCACTCTATTACACATCACTCCATTGCCTAGCCTTGGACAACTTCTCTATATCGTAAGCATCAGTATTGATAATTGCTTGGATGTTTGTTGTCCCCTTTCTTATTCTTTCAAGTCTGTTGCACGTCTGATCAGCATCACTGTTGGGTTTGGTCTGAAGTGTTTTGTTTTGCACCTGTATCCACACCCAACAGTGATGTGAAATTGCACTCTGAAACACATCCAAAAAACACACCCCAAATACACTTCTGCATCACTGCATGACTTCAACCACTGGAGGCCACAACAAAAAATTTCTGATATATCTGACAGAACAAGTGAAGAAAAGTTTAAGTGCATGCCAATGTTCATGACCTGGACAGCTGTCAACACTCAATGCATCAGCTACATTTCAGTGGGTACTCAAAAAATGTTCACGTTCGATAGCTAGCCATATGAGTAAGAAAATTCATTTGACAATGTGCACAACATGTTTCTGCGTTAACACGCAAGCAACATGTAGAGCTGTGCCATCATTTAAACATAAGACAGTTGTAATCTGACAAAGCAGAACAGCAATAAATCATATCTCTACCAGAGTTAAAATGTCCTTAGTAGAGGATGGAATGGAGACATATACCTCTGCTGCATGAAGTGAGTTTACGTACACTTCATTAACTGGGTCATTGTCAGTTATTTTTTTGCACTAGCCCAGTTTTGTAAATGTCACATACATGAAAAAAAACCTTGGTTGCTTTAAGTGAGGTGAAGGAGAATGAAGAGAAACCTGGTTAACACAGCTCTCTCAGTTCTCTCTATAACTTGGTTTAATCTTTGCACATAACTTTAGTCAGGACAACTCAACATTATCAGATTACCTTCTAAAGTCTATAATTTATACACCAAAAACTGTGATGTTTTTTCAGCGTACCTAAAGAAAATGTATTACAGTGTATTTCTCTATTGATTATTTTTCCCTCCATAAATATTCAGTTGTGTAGAATACAGCAAAGAGATCAAACCTTTTTCTTAACTACATGGGAAGTAGTATACACCAATAACCTTCTGTTGTCTAATTAGATATTTAAATTAGATTAAAGTTATTATTAGAATAAAGTTATTGGACTAAATTTCTATCAGCAGTGTAGGACTTGGAAGTTATTTGTGATGTTTTTGATTTGTCTTTCTGTATCTTCCTGTCTCCCTCCTCTCTGTCATAATGCCTCTGTGGTTTGGCTGTGATTTCTAATGTATTCAAACTTTCTCCCGCACCCTCCGTTTCCTGATGAGTATCAGAAGTTTTAATCACACAGTAGTTTATTAAATATTACTCCAGCCTTTCGCTGCGGGCCTGTGCTAATTATAGAGGAAGCTTTAGAAAACTGTCAAAATGAGTTCACACAGGGAGAAAGAAGAGCTGCAAGATGGCGTGTGTTTTAGGCCGCAGTCAAAACAGCAGCCAAAGAACAATGACAAGTCTGCGGAGATAGCTCAGTAAAGCTTTTTGTTGGGGTCCTAGTACCTTGTATTTATCAGATATCTAGATTAACTTTACTGAAGTCTATCCCAAAATATTGTTTACCATTTGAAGTTAAATTGATCATGCAGTACAATTTGTTTCTCAGTCAATACTTGACATCGGGGAGGACATCTTTGGAAGACAAGAACAGCTGGAAAGTGGGGAGGTGGGCAAAGATCAGGCCTAATAATAAAATATTTGTCCAATTAGATACAAAATAAAC